TGGTCAGCCAAGCGGGAAGGTGGGCAGGCAACCGTGCTGCAGCATTTCGCCCTAAATTTTACACTTGCTCTCTCTCTCTCTCTCTCTCTCTCCTACCCTCACCTCTCTGGTTAAGGTCGTTTTTGACTCGACCTTCCAGTTCGACTGCTGCCTGCCTTCCCACCCGGCCAGTCGACCGGAGGGTAATTAGCTGTACTTTTGTCTTACAAGATGCAAGCGCACAATCACACACGCACATGGTGGAATTATGTGTCCCTCTCAAAAGGGAATGGTTGGCGCATTCGAAGGCAAATGAAGCAAGCAAATTTACTAAATGATGCGGAATTCATGCGCTTGACTTGGTCCCCAAATACATACGCCTGGTTGTTCTACTGAAAGCGTGTGGACACATCTCCCAGAAGCAAAGTGTCCACAGGTTGAGGCAGAGGCATTACTGTCGAAACTGATAGGGATGGATGATGTGTTGTAATTAACTTAACTGACCGTCCTTCATGGGCGGATAAATTGCCTTACGTACTAAAAGGAAATGCAGGAAAATAAACATGCAGTATACCGTTGCCATCACATGGACGGAGATTACAAAGTGATACTACGCATGCAGTCGATGACTCCTTTAGCCCCTCCATCAAGGTGTAGATTAAAAGCTGACTTTAATTGAAGGACACCCAAGATGGTAGGCTGACAGATCTAAACTTCGTGGAGTTAAGATGGAGGGCCTGTAAAGAAAGCAAGAAGTATAAAGTGACTGTCGTGACTGTGTAAATTCCCAAATCTTTACACCTCGAAGGCACGGCACCTTTTCCTTACATGGTAAAGAAGGTGAAGAATATTATTGCTGCAAAATATGATTTTGGCAAAGCATTGTTTGTTAATTTAATCCTATTGTCAGCACAGTTCTTGTCAGTTTATTGAGTGGATTGCTCGGTGCCTTAACACTACCTCACGGTCATAAGTATGGGTTAAGTTTGACCGTTGACGTCTGTGGTGAAGAATGGCGTGCCTAATTTATGATTGAGTCAGGGACTGCTTCTCTGGTAACATCTCATACTTTTGTGCTAGGATCCCCCGACCAACTACCTTAATCACTTTATAGTTTGAGCAATGTAGTGCAGGAAGGAGCACTTTCTGGAGTTTTATATGGCCACTCATAGCTTTCGGTACTATTACGTAAAAAAGGACTCTAGAATTGGAGGCGATACAGTTAATGCTATGTTGCCATTCCTCCATGCAGTTTATATTCTGAGCATATTTAAATCGCTCAAGGATGTAATTTTTATTGTCATTGAATTAATTACCAAATTTTAAGCTTAGATTTTTATATGTGAGTGATAAAGGTAGAAAAGGCTGTTTTTACCATTAAAGCACCACCGAACGCCAGTCCAGATAAGATCGAGTAGTGTCATCTCTTCCCTAACATTTCCGAACTATGATAACAAACTATGTTCAGGGAGAGCTTTATTTTCTTCCATGTTTTAGCGCGAATGATGGAATTTACAAATTATGCTGCTAGTTATGGGTAATTTGAAAGACCGATCCCACCACAGTAGTTGTAAGCCATTCGAAAGAGTGCAGTAAGTTGATTGGATGATTTGGAAACATGAGCAACCAATCAAATTCTTGTATGAGGTGGCCAGAAATTGAGGAGCTGTTAATTGATTTAATTTTAACCACATCTTACTATGTTGCAAGTTCTAAATCCAATTGTCCTCTACTACATAAGGTGAGCTCTAGTCGTTGAGTTTAGAGTTTTGGTTGCTCAAGCTTTTGAGGCTCAACAGATGCACTTTCTTTAAATGACATTTAATTTGATTCAGGGTAATAGTTCTTCCCCTTCTTGCCTTTTTTTGCTCCCGCAATACGCCAACTACCCAAGTCTTCAAACTTGCCTCGATTTCAGGATAGACTCAGGAAGCCACAATTGCCACCAGAATCAATGCTAGCCACTCGAAATGATGTAGAACGTTGATTGGGTAATTCAGAAAAGCATGTAGCCAATCATCTTCTTCCATGACACGTACCCAATTCATTCAACTGTAGCCTTAAAACAACAGCAGGAAATCCTCTCTCATTAATTCCATCATGTCAAGATGACTGTATCTCGCATTTCGAGTAAATGCGTAATAAAAGAAATATGTAATCCTACATAATCTCACACAAGTGAGTGCATGACATTGGTAAACGAAAACTTTTAGAAATATGCCCAAGTTTAATAAGTGTTCTGCTTGGCTTCACAAAGGCAAAGTACATTAAGCGTTTCTGTGCAAAATATGCTAAAAGACTAAAAGAACTTCTCGCAGGCGCAGATGAAGAAGTACATTTTCTATTCCCATTAGAAAACGATCTCCATGTTATAAAACTCCTCCTATCCTCTTTCCGTTCTGAATTAAGTCTCTATTCAAAAACTTCTTTAGTTGTTATTGCCCTTCACTGATGGATTATCTAAAAATAATGAATGTCAGTAGTACGCGTATGTGGGCAGAACAACACCTGCGGTATCTGCCAATTAAAAGGGATTCGGATCCGAGACAGAGGCAAGATGTAAACACGTTTGCTTTTGAAAATCTAAAGCCTGTGCAGATTGGTGATGCGATAGATATTAAGGGTTTTGATGAATTAACACTTATTGACACATCTTTAGGCTATGCGTGAAAAATTATCAGCATAGTAGAATTCCTGTTTTAAGTGATAAAAAATACTCTTTCAAATTGGTGGTAACAGAGAGCTATTCTACTTACAAATTTATTAGTAGCATCTCATTTGATTGTTGTGGTGACAAATGTGACAGACTTCCATTAAAGAAGATAAATTTCGGTCATTAAACTCGTACGATAACACAAGAATAATGAAAAAGGCTATTTAGATCGCCTAAAAAGTTGGTCTTGGAGATCGTTCATGTTTGTTTCATAGAACTGCCTTGCAGCAGATACGCTTTATTTGGAAATTAAATGTGAAGAGAGCCTCTCCTCAAAGCCGACACTAGTTTATAATGGTTTAGCGAAATTTGTGGCTTATACAGGTGCGGTTTCTCAGTCGCCGCTTTATGCATCATTGCAATGCTAAGTCCGACGGCAGGTAAGCAGTAAAATTTCACATTTACAAGGGTTGTCATACCTTATGGATGATGCGGAGGAGTCTCTAATAAAAGGGGTAAGGAATCGCAAAACAAGAGGACACCACAAAATGGACCGTAATGGAGGCAAAACCAAAGTAGGTTTTTAAAAATTAAAAGGCCTGAATGCGTGCATGACTGCGATTCTCCGATGTCTGGAGTAAGCAAGAATTTTAAGGAAGAAATGCATTTCGCGCGTTTAAAATCAAATAAAGCAGGCGAAATATTGGCCGAAATGACAAATGACTAAAGTTAGCAACTCTAACCAACAAAATTCACTAAGAGGATGGGACATGGGACAGCAGCTGCCCCTCTCGCAGAATAAGAAGGCGCGCTTTAGTCTTGATGGGCATTATTAAACGCTTTATGCATTGTTATGCCGACTTAAAGGGCAACAAGAGCCTTTACCCCTCAAAACGAGGCTAACACCCAATTTGGGAGGACTCACGTTGATTTTTGAGGGTTGGTCAGCTAGTCACGTATGCTAAGAATTCTCTTGGGCACGCAATTTTGGAAACTTGTATTGAGCAGAACAGGCATTGACAATTGGTGATGGGTGGAATATTATTTGTATAGCTGGAGAATGGGCATGCAATGTGTTGCTTATGTGAATACCTGAGGTTCAGAGGTCACTTTAGGAGTTGTCTGGCCCTTGTACACGTGGGCTGGCCTTTGGGCCATGCTCGGGCCCATGTCTCGGGCTGCTACAGGGCAAACTATCCCATTAGCTAAACAGCACAGGAAAATTAATGTTCAAAAGGATAAGCACTTTGAATAATAAATTTAAGGGATATAAGCATGCGTGTCTCATAAGCAGACAATCAAGACTACGAAAACGATTTTTGATGCATGGTTTTAGGAGCTGCCCGCCTAACCTTATGCTCAGGAACCACGGACTTCAAGAGAGGGTTAGTTGCAGTAGATTTATTAGGCATTGAACACAGGAAGAACGGCGATAGGAGCATAGATGAGTCGAATAGCAGATATCACCCGGAGAGTGATTCCTCACGGTCCTCACGCACGGGATTCGCGTTCCAAATTGGTCCCCATCTCCCGCCTATAAAGGTCAACTTGGAAAGCACTCCAGTATTTATTGCAATGGTTTCATTTGATCCCTTCCCTTCCTTTTTTTAATAAGCTGAACTTGACCGTCTGTATGGCATTCTTATTAGCCAAGAGATAACGGGATGGAGTTAACTTATTACAATGGGGAGTATCACGTAAGCTCAGTCGACATCAGACCTTTTTGCTCATCATTATCAAACAGCAAGTTGTGCCTTTGTCAATGGTCCAGAAAATTCGAATATTAAAATTTAATACAAATTCACAGTCGCAACATTTTGCAAGATCACACGTGTAACGTCAGGTGGACCTTTCTAGTGTCAAGTGTCAGGTCAAGTGACAAAACCAAACATCCATGTCCATGTTATTATACGTATCGCACTACATGCTTTTCTTCAGTATCGACCTCCCCATAGTGCCTATGCCACGTGACGAGTCAAGGCAGAGATGGAAGCCAATTTTAAGCTCACACGACGTCAATAGGCTCCTTAATTATCAGTGTTCCTTGGTGGTTAGTACGTGCAAAATGTTTTTTTGCTACATGTCTTTAAGACTTGCAAGAATAAAGTTTAAACATTTGTGCTACTTGTGCTTTCCTGAATTTTCGAATAAACTTTTACATATTTTAAAATCTGTCCAAAATCTAAAATTTACTGGAGCGCAAATGTGTAAGGAAAATAGTATGGCAAAGGCTCATCAGTTTATATTTACTAAATCCTTAGACAGGCATACAATTGGTTAATGACTAGGTTTGCCCCTAGGCTGAAATTGCATACTGCGTCTAGATGACCTACTTACTCAAAGTCTGGGGTGTAGCCTGAGTCAGGTGATGGAGACCTCGGTTACAACAGAAGCTCAAGCCCTATTCGATTATGACAGGCAACATTTTGATGAGGTAAGGGTTTGTTACTGGTTTACTGCCCCAGTTGTCCTTTAAAACTGGCGATATGATCAAAGTACTAAAGGAAATTGAAGGTGGATGGTGGCATGGTGAATTAAACGGCACACAGGGGTGGTTTCCCAGCAACTATGTTCGGAAAATGCGTAAAACACTCCCTGTTAATTAAGGCTTACTCCTAGTTCCAAGCTCCAGGGCCACGGACACTAGCCACCTCTTAAGCTTCCAACAAGAGGTAAGCTTTGTGCTGGATGTCACTAAACTTTTAGATTGTACAACATATTCTTGAGGGTGAATCTAAACAAATCGCTGATCTAAATCTACTTACGCGCATCTTAAAGCCAAATGTCGAAGTGCTGTCCAAATTGTAGTCATTAATTCGGTAATTTCATTCCTATAGCCCATTCATGTCAAAGTTGTCAATATTTGTGGATAAGTTGGCACAAATAATTCGTTTGCACGAGTCCATTGCAAGAATACTGGAGAAAATGAAACCGTAATGTAACTTTTACAACCTCAAGACATTATTTAGGTTGTCGCGGCCAAAATTCGTCGGGAAATTGTTTCTAGACGTTGCTAAGAATATGGATCAGTTAGCAGGTGAATATGCTCGTTCCTGTGCATACATTGAATATGGCCTGCAGGAGAGCAGCACAACGATTCCCGTTGCTGTCGGTGCGGCTGGTCAAGATTTATACTCTGCGAAGACTAAATCCCTCTTCGCAAGTGTGCATGACCGCCTCTCACGATATCCCATTTTGCTGAAGGAAACTGAGCGTTATTACGAGGTACGTTATGCGGTTCAATTTCATTACTCCATTTTAGGATCCTCATCCTGATAGAGCAGCAATCTGCAAAGCAATGCAAGTCTATTCAGAGATTTTGGACCGTTGTAATCTGCTTCGCAATTTACGGGAAGTGGACATTGAGGTGCTTTCGTCAGAAATTCGTGGCCTTCCCGATCAGGTAACCGATTTTGCATCTTTGTGTCTTATTTTCAAACAATTTTTTAGTGATACTAATTCGTATTTATGTATTTTGGTGATGAATATCGCCGAATGTATAGGCGAATAATGTCTGTAATAGCATAAGAAATCGTTTAATTTACCTTTTTTGAGAATACTGGACCGCTCGACAACTCAAATCGCAAAAATGTTAGTTATTTAGGCGTGTAACTCTGAACTATAACTGGGAGAGTGTTTAATTGCATGCAATTCAACCTATGTATTGGCGCTTTTTGACTAATATAAACCCCGGGCAAATTGGACCGGATATATTGGATGGAAGGTTACATCCTGAATTAATCATTCGTTAAAGCCATGACTGACTGCTGTGAGAAAGTCTTTCGCGATCAATCTGCCGGCATGTTAATAGTGCTTTTTGTCGTTATCTTCTGTTCTCTTGCGACAGTCGCGACTCCAAATCAATGATCCTACGTTGACCCTGAAAGCAAGCATTTGCACCGATGACACTGATGGTCACTTCGTTATTGATCCCTCTAAACCCCAAGCTGTTCTCCTCCTCTACCCCAACTTTATTATCATCCTCTCTGTTGTCGCTCCGTGGATCTATCAGTTTCGTGTAAGTTATCCCACCTCTGTGAGCTCAAGCATTGCCCCTCTAGATGCACGTCCCCATCACAAACATCACAGTGACAGCAATGCAGGAAAACGAAAACGTTATCAGTATCAAGATTGTAGGTAAGAGGTTCTCCTATGCACAGATATGGTCTGTATTTCAGGTTGTTAATGGTGGGCCATTTTTTTGTCAACTTCATTAGGTGGCAGTTCACCTCCTGAGGAACACACTCTCCACCTCTGGTGCACTGGCGTTTGCACTCGTGATCTCTTTTACTCCACGATCACGGAATTCATTCGAAACTCGAAGGTTAGTTGCCTTGATGTGTAGTGCATGATTCGGTCTTCATTCACCCATGTCGTAGTTCTAGTCGATTTGGTGTCCACTAGTCAAAAACGAAGTCATACCTTTATCTTAGAAATCAACCGTTGCTAACGCACTTTATAAGTCAAGCTTTACTTCTACAAGAAACCCATTTTATTCCAGAGTCGTGATAAGTATAGCGAGTTAGCTGTGCATCTTATCGAGAGAGCGATATAATTGTTTTTTGATCATGAATGGAAAAACATTTTTTTGCATTTTCATACATTTGCCTAATGAACGCTAGTCCAATGTATGCCTCAACTCGGCTTACTCGTTTTTTCGTTTTTACACAACTACGATGTGCGAGCCAAGTTTACCTTTTGAAGGGTGTTTGTTTTGGTCCAAATTGGCAATCGCTGCTAATTTGCATTCTACCTTCTGTGCGTTTGTCATCTTCCATCTGCTAATCATCCTATCCATTAGGTAGGCAGGACAGTACAAGTTAAGTCGGTCACGCTAGATGCAGTTCATAACTCAATTAGCATTTCGAAACCGACCTATCCGAATGTGGGTTCGCATTTTACACCCCTATTTTACAATTCGTGACATTGTCTCCGCCGTTATAATCAGGGAGTCTTTTAAAGTTTAATTTGAAGGGCGGTTCCATGTGGCGCTGAGATTCTGGTTAAGGAGGACATTTTCATTGATTCTAATGACACACTGATTGGTCACATCATTGTCATAGGCGGGTTTAAATGCATCTCTTGGGAGGGCTCCATTCTCATCTCTGATTTATTAATCCAACTTAGACCGGTAGCTTTAATGCCAGACACTCTCTGGTATTGCGATTATTTGAAGGTTTTCGTTTCATTCTAGTTTACCCAAAATTAATCGTCACATCATTATCATATCTTTTCAGTGGGACCTAGAAAGGGTGAAGTTTCGTCATGCGGTAATCTCTCCCCCTCCTCTAACTCTCATCACCAGCACACAGGCTATGTTAAAAATTGCACTACTTGCACACTTCTCCATAACATTCCATCCTTGATTATTCTCCCATCCCCTGATTCTCCGTTCACTTTTTCGTGTCGATCCAGGTTAAAAGGCTAACGACTCTTGTTTTTATCTGCCGTGTCGTCTGGGTAATGGCCTTGGTAATGCCACATCGTTTCTGCCTCAAGCTTCAAAATGTACGCCTTCCGTGTCTGAACCCAAATGCCCTGCAGAACGTGGCCCAAATCCGGGCTTTGCTCACCGCCTTGGTGAGAGAGTTCAGACGACACTGGGTGGTAGGTGCACACACAACTCCCACCAAAGTAGTAATAATCCGGATTACGTGGCATGGTCAAGCTTCTTGAGGGATGGCATCTGCTCTCTATGGCTGATATTTCACGAGGCTGACTGGGAAGGCTTGTGGACTCTTGTCTCAACTGAATGCTACGAAATGCTGTTACCCCATGCTTGTGACTTTAATTAGGGCTTTCGTGAGGTAGCTTTAGCCCTACAACTTTTAGCCGAACGGCGGTTTTTTTTCTTTTGAATGGAGAGGCCTGAAAATAGCAGCCGTTCGTCTTTTGTTACCTGCTTTCCGGACAGCAGTTTGGAAAGCATTGTCTTAAATGGCATGAGCATTATCATGCCAACTGAACCACTTCTATCTTTGACTTCTCCGTGGTTATTCCCGTGCCCCAACCATCATAAGTAACTCGGATTGTTCAATGGGAATTGTGCTTCGGAGAGACTTAGTCTTTTTTTCAAACTCTCTTGAAGGTGTCCTGGCTTGGTGGTATTTGGAAGACTGTATGTGATCCCTTTTTTAGCCACTCACTACTACTACTACTCACTTATGAAATCAGACTTATTTGAATAGCATGGGGAAGAGCTGAGATGGAAAGTCGACACGAGAAATTGGAATAAACAAACTCACTTGGATCTAGCCTTTCTATGCCTTTGTGAATTTTTTTCTCTATTGTCTTTGTGACTAGGAACAGCTTCGTGACAAGTTGTGTACTAATCATCTGATGAGCCGAGGCTCTTCCGCGTGCCAAGCTGTAAAAGGGCTGACTTTCAAGGCTGTAGATTAGTATCGATGTCACCTTGACCGGACTTGTCGCTGACGTACTGACCCACCACAGTGTTTTTAAAGCGTTCACACCACGCAGGTTTCTTACTGTTGGGCCATTCATTAGCTCACTATGCTTGGGTCCTTACAACCATCCTCATTTGAAAGTACTAAATCGTCTACCCGAATTGAAGGACGACAGGATCCTTATCTGCTTTGCTTTGGCTCATTCCTCTCATCAACTGTTTGCATTTTTATTCAATAAAAGCATTCATTTGCACTTCTTTCAGTTCCCCAGGAGCGCCTCATCACACAGCGGTGTTATTCAGGGAACCCCTTCGGTAAATTAGTTGCGGAAACGTGTTAATACACGCTGGTAGGGAAATAGCATCAAATAACAGCCGCACTATAACCCGAGGCTTACTGACTAGCAGAAAATCAAAGACTATCATAGATTTGTTTGACATTGTTAATCACCATATATTTTCCCTAAAGACGGTAGATGGTGTCATTCTTCGTCAGCGCAGTGCTACGCGGGCCACGAAACCGAGCGGACCGGGATTGCTACGTCGTCGATCTGCAGGCGGGGCTACGGACGAGAGTGGTGACGCTGGCTTTGGTGCCGGTGCGGCTGCGCCGCACCTCTTTGCATTGCGCTCCTCCCACTCTGGTCCAATTTGCGGCCCTACTGCAGAAGGGGAGGCGGAGGCCCTGGACGAGGCGCCTACGTCCTCCACTTCGCCGCCACCACCACCACCACCGCCTCGTACCAACACCATCGCTGTTACTGATCTCACCAACCTTCCCGGATGTCGGTTTCTGTCGCATGAAGTGCGAAGTCGACCCCTCGTCAAGTGGCCTGGTTAGTCGTCTTGCTCTCGCCTTGATGTTGCCGTCTATTCTTTGGCTTTTCCCTTAGCTTCTCTCCTCTGACTCTAAGATTAACATATCGCTATCTCTATCTTCATAGAGGATATCCTTACTATGCCAAAACGTCAAGAAGCCGCACATTCGAGCGCCTTCAACAATTCTCAAAGAGGCCTTCAAACCCAACAGGATGATAGCCTAACCCATCTTCGTCTCGATTGCACTCCACTCCAGTCTCACTGTTCTCTAATCCCTGGCAGCGGGGGAGAAATCCCACCTCGACCTGGTGCTCGAGCACCTCTTGGCGGTGGCTATGGAAATCGAGGTTCCAGACCTAATTCACCTGGACGATCTGGTGCCGGTGGCGAGGGCCGAGGGGCTCCCGCGTCTGCTGGCAAGGTCATGCGTCGCAAGCGTACTGGTATGACAAAGAAACACTGCTACTTATATAATATAAGTAGATCATGCGGGAACTGACAACTGGTATGGGATGTGCCGTGATAATTGGTCTGTGAAAGTTTGCATTCATATGCCCTCCTAGTTTTGTGTTATTCTAACTTTTACAAGTACTGGCCAGATTATCGAGTGGCAATTGTAAATCATAAAAGCTTGATGGGTAGCAAGACAATGGGCGTATTCAGGAGATTTCTAGAAACCATTTGGGAAAGTGCAATACTTCCATACACTTTAATCCATGACTAGGATGCGGACTGCCAATTATGTATGATTATTGCTTCATTGATGATGTCCAAAGTGGTAGGAATATAAAAGGTTTAGGGTAGCTTTACTGACATTGGTTTCACGCGCGCTTTCAAGAAATAGTTATAGCCAATACGAGGATACAAATTTAAGTTACGCTATTTTTGTTGATTTCTGTATACGGGTAAGTGTTTTGCTCTGCCACTTATGATGTTTTCATAATCAACCCTCTGCATCTCCTCTCCTGCGGCCAATTTCAGATCGTCAGAAGAGCGCTATTAACGCGGACGATATTCTACGTTCGACTGGACACTTTCGTAAATACTAGCATTTCAGCACCCAGTGCACTGCTGCTGTTTATGCTCATGCTCATGCCGCTGATAGTTTGATCGCTTTTTTCCCTGCACGATTGCTTGTGACGTTGATCCCCTCCCCTTACCCACGCCTTAGACCTGTGGCTTTGTGGTGATCAGCGGTGATAGTAGTACGCTCTCACCTCACTGCTCTGTAGCTTATTCTGACCCTATTTGGGAGTGGGAGTAATAATGCTAACCACCGCATTTAGGCCTCGCTCATGCAGGCCTAGCAGGTCTATCAACCTTTTGTCGTGATCTAATCACTTTTGAGCAGTATGTGAGGTTCAAATCCATTTGTTCACCGTCTCTGCAAAATTGGCATGGCTTACCGTGGGTAACTCTTCGACGGTTAGACGAGGTATTCTGCGTTCAAGTACTAGATCAAGTATTACCTTTTTATTTCATCAGTTTATTTCGTCGGTGCATTGCACTGTACCTGAATCAACTTGACACTGTATTGAGGTGTATGATTGGTTATTGAGGATCTGTTCAAACTGAAAAGTTGCTATCCTATGGGATCATAGAAGGTTAAGAAGACGAGTAGCAGTGCACTGTGGCATTGTAGAGGCGTATAAAGTGGAGTTAAGGATGTCGGAAAAGGTACTAAAGTGATTTCATTCCCCATGAAAGGATTGCCGAAGCTTTTTTTGTCATCACCATTCACACCACAGTTGATTACGAGTGCCCTAATTGGTTTGTTCCCTGGGGTGCGTGCTGTTCTCAATAGCGCTTACGTCATGCTCCCTTACACTGCTAATTTGAGCATGTATTACCTGGCCTTCCCCCTTTCTCAGTCCCTTATATCCCGGAGTCATTGAATGCACTCAATGCCACCTAAACTCCAGTCTCCCATTACGACTTCTAGACGAGGTCACACAACGGAATGAGAAGGACGCTAAGATCCTGCAAATCATTGAGCTCTACTGTGGCAGCGGCCTTCCCAAGGGCGCTCTCAAACCACGTAAGTCGGCTTTGTTTCATTTTGAATTGAGGTACTAAGCAAATGCCTGCATGTGGTGTAGCAAAGGTACGTCAAGGATGTTCGCTTTTCCATCGCTTTGTAGTTGCAGCCGAGCAGACAAGGTAACGTGTTTTTTGCACACCTTTTTCTACTGACACTTGGACCAATTTTTGGAGTTTAGGGTTGGATATGTGCTTAGTTTTCTAACGTCTATGTAAGATGGCCTGATTATTTGGCCTCCTCCAATTCGCTTCTACCTGCACCTCTCACCACTCCTAGGGTCTGAATCTAACGAAATTGCAAGAGAAGAACAAATCAAGGTCGGGAAAAAACATTTAAATCCAATTTGGCAGTTCAGATTTATATATCAATAAGTTATCTGGAAAATTGAATCACACATCGAAAAGTGAAATGGCCGAAAACATTGGAGTAATGCTACTTAGGCTGGTTATAGTAGTAAGAACGGTTGATAGTGTAGCTCACTCTGACGAGGCCTCTTGTGGCAAATAGAGTGGTGCTTCAAATCCTCCAACGTCCATACCGTAGCATATTAAGCATAAATGGGACCGGTTTGGAATCTAACTATCCTCTTGTAGAGCTCCACAATCGTCCTCTACTCTAGGTGTCACTGTAGGCTTGCGTAAAACTAGAAGGCGAACTTGTCTCGAGAAATGTCTCCCTAACTGCATGAGATTGCGCGCATGAATTATGCCGTTTGAGTGTACGTCAACCCATCAATGTGGCGAATTTTGACTGAATGTAGCGGGTCGGATTCAACGTGATTTTAATTCGGTTCTACAGCTGCAGAAGGCTGCACGGAAGTTGCAGTATGGCATCTTTTGACGAATCACTCAATTATCCTCCAAGAACAGGTATTGGGAAGTTTAATTGAGTCTAACAGTGACAAGTGATGTGCCGTTGCCAACTTACGTCAATTGGGTGGGTGGGGGGGAAGAAGTAATTTCTCTACATCTACAGCATCTGATAAAATAATCAACCAAAGGTGTGTTGGTCCGCTGATCTGCAAGGCGATCGATGTGGTGGTTCTGATCTTTCACATGAACTTCCATATGTGGTGTAGCAATTAGACATCAATTTTGTAGTGAGGCAACTTGAGAAGGTGTAGTGCACGTTCTAAATGCAGTGAAAATCCCCCTTCCACACTTGTCGTGCCAGATCGTGTAGTTCATTCGAGCCTAGATTGTGACCATCAAATGGGGCCACTTTCAATGCAAGTGACATACCATACCATACATGAAGGACCATAGGTGGGTAAATGCCGCCTACCTGTCGTTATTAGTCAAGGTGGGATAGAATTTGTACAGTATGTCGGTGTTTTGATTGACATCAGTTTCCTCTTTGCACTCCGCATGTGTGTTCTATTAATTTGACCCCTGCACTAAACTGGCTTGTCATGAAATTTTTGGACGTATTCTACATTTTTTTTTCGCCCTCCAGTTGATCTGACCCAACTGCGGCTGAGTTGCACAGAGATGAGGATGAAGGAAAACTCTCTGCCTCCTCCTGGTACCACAGCTTCCGCTAGCTCTACAGCAGCACTGCGGACGTATGAGAACATCGACCCTGCTCCTCCTCCCATGATGCCACTTCGTCCTCCACCTGTTATTCTACCCACCTCGGCTTCTGCTCGTAAAATGTAGTTTACGTCTCCCTCCTTGCCCAATGTTTTGGAGTCAATAGAAGACTTACCTCAATCCATCTTTTTAATCACAAAGCAACTTTATGCCTTATTTGTCTTGCCTTGTTTTTCAGGATCCGCACGGCGGAGGTCTGTTTGAGCCGAGTCCACAATATGCAACTAGTGTTTTTACTTCTGACACTGACATTAATTGAGGGACTGAATCGCGTATCACCCTCATAATCAACCGCTTGAGCCACCTTGAGGCAATTATTTTGCTTCTGTCGTCTTCTCTTTTTAGACCAGAAATGAGTGAATACGGGTGTCATTTGTTCCGTACCAAGAGATTGTTGTCGACGCTTGTAAATCAGATGGTCTGATTGCGCACAGAAGAGAGACATGCACTCATCCCTTCTTAATGCGTCATCGCAGACGCATCCATGCGCTCAAATGCCAGTTGGGACTAAGTTGGAGTGAAACGATCCATCAACTCGTCGTTGGTGTTGCTTTAAGGCTCCAAATGAAGGGAGCTGCTGAATGTGTGAGATGAAGATTCACAGCTCTAGTTCCATAACCCTGCAATGGAAGCCTCCACTTTGGTGATGAGCAGCAAGTTGGAATTGTGGGCGTTTCAATTTTCACTGGGACGATGATCGTAGGGGCTTCCACACCCAAAAAGGCATATCTTCAGATCAGACAGGTGGTTTATGGCAACTCCAAATGCTGTGCTAACCTGCTTGTGGCTCCTCCCACTTTGTTGGGGCAACAAGGTCGGTCCGAGTGAGGCAGCAGTTTAACCAATGTCAGAAAGTAAGAAGTAGAAGCGAGGTCAGGTGCTGGAGTGCTGTAGCTCTTTGATTCGACGTCGATGCACGTCAAAGAAGTGTGAGTTGGGTACATCTTTCACTTTCCTTTTATTCTTCATTCCATGCACCACGTAACCAACGGATCCAAATCAATTTGGAACTCACTGAAAGCTCAAGTATACGATCACTTCTGATCTCAGTTTTATGCCTTATTAGGTGGAAATCAACCTATTACCTAACTAGTTGGTATAAATATAGGATAATCTTTGAGTGCTGAGAACCTCTGTAGGTCCATGCAGCCCTCTAAATTCAAATCTCCAGCTTTTACCATTTTTTGTTCCTGAATGAACTAGAAATGTGTCCTATCGCACAGTCCTCTTGAGTGGCTGATGCTATAAATAAAGGGTGTTTAAGGACCTTTCAAATCCCTCTTGGTATTCCACTCTCTGCCCATCGAAAGCCCTGATCCTTTGGTTGATGCAGATGTGACCTCGACAAGGTCCGAACACGTTTTGTAGACACCGGCTTGAAGTAAAGGCAACCCATTCAGAGAGTAGATGCATTCGAGTGCCACAACCCCCTTTCTGCGTAAAAGGAAATCCATCAGTCAGAACACGATTTTTCCATTATTCACAGATTAAACGTGCCCATGGAAGTACTATTCCTCTCGAGGGGATATCTCCAATCGACATCACATAATCACCAGACTTAGCATTAGCAGTAGATGATAGTAACTAAGATATGGAGTTTGGTGGACGAGTGGGATGCATGTGGAGATTGCTCTGAGGATCAAACGGGACAGCGCTGCAAGCACAAAGACCACGGTAGGTCAAGAGTCTAGTTGAGAGATGGTGGTGCTGAACAATGCCGCGCATAAATTACTTAAAAACCTTACTCCACTTCTTCATACCCATTTCCAAAAAAACAAAAAAAAAAAGAATAATAACGCTATAAACTCATTTTATTGTCTGAAATGGATGTCTGCGATTAACCACTCGTAGATCCCAATAAGTCACGAATTTTGAAGGCGGGACAATTTTGAGACAAAGAGTCCCCTTTAAAAGCAGCAAAACAAAACCCTATGGACTCCGTATTTCACAGCAAAAACAAAAAACTGGACTCAATGCAAGCAACTGCCAATCAAACAGTGCATCAACTCATTTTTGCCTGCGACTACCAGCACAAATTTTAATTTCCGTAACCCTTTCTTTGCAACAATTGTTATCACTTTTGTCAAGTTTTATAAATGTGTGTGAAAGCAGATCTCCCAACCGCTATCTGCAGTGAAGCTGAGAAGAGGAACTGTGTAGAGCCCATGTTCCTCCACTGCCTCCAGCAATTTCATCAAGGCACACCATTAACTGTGGAGCGGTTGAGGTGAAACCCCAAAGCTGTGCGTCTTACCGAGCAGGTTTCAGATGCCTCTTGAAACCCGAACTCCTTCCACTTAGCGTGAACTCATGAGAACGCCTTAAGTCAACTCACTTCGCATTGGAGTCACAAACTTGACTAAAACCTGCGTCGCCCTGTTCCCACGGCAGTTGGTTTAGGCGAGAATGAAAAGGAAGCTTTAACAAATCCAACAACTCGCGTTTCTGGACACAATGTAAACAGCGATTTAGCTGTAATAATAAGAAAAATTGGACCTTTCTTTTCTGTGCTTCTGATGGATGTGGCTCATGCCTAATGCCGATCTTCGCCAGAAACATGCATGAAGTAAACGACTTCATTCGCCGTTGAAAATATTTGGCTCGTGTACATGTTTTCCCTTCATTTGAGCCCTCGCTGTAATGCAAGTCCTGAATTAACCATATTTTCGGGCGTTGTTGAGAGCATACAAGAAAACCAGAAATCAAGGAGGCATGCAGTAACAAGATTAAGCCTTGCTGCAGGTCCACTTTTATTGCTATAACTTGATTAGGGTTTGCAAAATGAAATAATGAATTTTTATCTAAATAAATAATTGGAGCCTCTCGAAAGTTTCACAGTGACTTAGGTGTCACGATCTGAGGGTAGAAAAATGCACTACAGACATTATAGGGAATGAAAGGGACGCCCACGACATGATCCGCAGGTGCCACCGCCAATCCAAAATTTTAATAAGAATCAAAGCGTTTTATAAGGATTTAGGGAAGAAGGACTTCATCGTAATGAAAATAAAACCACCTTGATAGACCGACTACAACGTGGCATAGGCTCTTGCGACCTCTGAATTCTTGTCGAGTTGATAAGGGGAAGACACTTTGGACTTATGTAATGGTTTGGCTGTTCTTTCATAGCTTGACTAACGACGAAGGCGCTCCAGTCTCCACAATTATACCTTTGTGAAATGGCGCCTGAAGCCTTGCTAGCAGGCAGCCAACTCCCCCTGAGCACACCGCTCTGACTTGCCATGGGCAAACGTACAACTATTCGACAATTTTCTCCATAAATGGATCTAGAGTTACAACAATGCAACCTTGAGATGAATAACGGAGAGGATGAAGTGAAATAGCAAAATGACTCAATTTGGCTGTGACAAGTCTGCAAGGAAAGTTATCCATTTTAGAATGATTTCCTACAACAATAAAATGCCAAAGGAGAGAGCAATCACGGACAGTTACGACCTATATTTACACAGTCTGACAGTATTTCAAAGGAAAGAAGCAGAATTAAGCACTATTTTCGTTCCCAGCTAAACAATTCAAGAGATTTATGGGCCTGAAAAAATAAATTGAATAAGAAAAAATGGACTGAAAAAATGGTACTTAGACTTTGGTTTCGTTATCCAAAACAACCAAATAGAACAGTTTAGTCACGTAGGTACGCTTGAGAGTTGAATCAATTTAACAGAAGGATGCACAGTGCTCTAAAGCCTCCACTGCACATTCGAAAAGTGACAAATGCTCGAAAGTAATTAGGAAGATTGTCTTAGTTAAGAGTGCTTACAATGTGTGGAAATCACACGCATACCCACTAAGCTTATGCCTATGAGGAGCGCGTAAATCAAATTATGCGGTAGTTTTGGTATCGCCTATAAAACCACGCTAGTTGCACATACAACGGAGTAGACGAGGAGGAAGAAGCGAGTTTAAAAGCAGCACCCTCACCATGAACACCATCTGCCGATGCAATCCCGACCCTACGTCATGCGCCAACAAACCACATTTCGTACGGATGGACCTTGATGAGAAAGTGGAGTCCTACTTTCTCCATATTGTCTACGAGGCCTGTCAATGCTATACTGACCCCGTCGACCTCTGCACCGCCATCAAGCAGTGTCTCGATCAGAAGTTCGGTCCCATGTGGCATGTTGTTGTGGGTCCCGAATTCGGCAGGTTAGTCGATTCTTCAAGTTCCTCATTTTGATCAGTGTGAAAAAAAAGCAAGTTAAGTAATGGTCCATGTCATCGCTGCTTCAGAAACGCAGCGTATTCAGTTAGGTTCAAACAAATCCTTTTGGAATGACAACTCAATCGCAATTCGCTTACCCATTTCTACCGCAAAACAGTTAGTGTCAAGTGTGGGCAGCAAATTTTAATGCAAAATACTCCGCCATTCAAAGCCTTCCTTCCAAAGTAACTTTCACAAATTCAAAATTCTACTTAACGCACAAAACCCACGACAACTTATGCAAGGAGCGTACCTACAGCAAGACCACTTGAAGACTCAGGGACATTAATTTGTCACCAGTTAATTCGATCGATTCAATTAACCAAGTGTCATTCAGAGCAGATTTGGCAGACAGAGAGGAGGGTTGCATACACGCCCTCATGAGCACGCACGCCTCAGGCCTAGTAAATTGATAGTGGCATCAATCGAGGACCAATCGGAGCACGATAGTGCGTTAATGAGCACGTAGGTGGCGAGTGAGAAAGAGCAGAGAAAGAGAGAGAGCGAGGGAGAAAAGGCAGGAGTGGTGCCGAAAATGCCAAACTATCGCCAGACCCACTGCGCCACAGAACCATGCAGCGATTACTCTAGCAAGCCTCACTTCCTTCGACGATCTCTTGACCCCAATGTGGAGTCTGATTTCCTCTACTATGTGCGCCAGGCCTATCAGAATTACGACGATCCAGAGGAAATGTGCACGGCGTTGAAAACGCGCCTCGATGAAAAATATGGTCCAACTTGGCACGTCATTGTTGGCGACTACTTTGGAAGGTAGGCAATGAATTGTGGATTCACCGACAAGTACTGTAGCAGTAGACACTAAAATAAAAAAATTGATACAGATTTCCATGCTCATAGGCGTTAAAACCGTCAAGAATATTCTAGAACAGTGTTCAGAAGTTTTAGGAAACCCATGTGAAACGCATTAAACCATCGACTTCAACGCAACTCACATCGACTTTGCCTCAGACTCGCAAATCATGCCTAATTATGGAAAACAAAAATAGCAAATTTAGCATCTCGATATTAGAAGTCTGAAGACTAAAAAAGATTTCATTGTAAAAAGTATAATGATGAGAACGTGCTTAAAGCGCTGTGCTGTACTGAAGACATGTTCAAACAACATTGCCGAAAATTCTATGAGGAGAAGCAAATGTGGTAAGTCACGAGGTACCAATCACCTATTTAGTATAGCACAATCTTCTCTCTCGAGTTGGAATTGATATGTGTACTAAGCAGGCTAATGAGTAAAACTATATGCGTGGGTCTGCCTAATTGGTTTTGGTGAAGCCAACCAACTAATTTTTAGTTCAACAAAATCGGATTAAAAGTTTCTTCTATGTGAGTAAATCAACTTGTCAGGGCAATTATTGCATACGACTATATGCCATAGAATTTTTCAGTTAAATAGTCTCCCTTAAGGTTAACTCACACTTTTGAATTATCGATTTTAAATTTCAACACAATTGCAGATGGCACGCTGCGGGAGCATAGGTCATGAAGTGAGATCCTGTGTTGTTTTAGTCGTATTTATTCTAAAATGGAAAATTCTGCTACAATTCTCGTACATAAATGCATCCACCCGGTTAGCGTATGATATGCGTTCGTAAATTTGCTTGACCTACTAGAACCTCTTTACTGACCAAAAAGTAATCAGCAAGGAGGTGAGCAAAACCTAATTAAGATCAGGGCTTTAATTCAATGTTCCTTCATCTATACCGTCCATCTTTTCAGCCACTTCGAGCACGAACCGAAAGGCTTCTGCTATATTACGTACCAAGGCCTCTCTTTCCTTATGTTCAAGTTCGGCTAAGCAACGAATATTGCGTCAACCTTCTCCTGTAACCTTCTAGCAAATCTTACTGTCTTCATTACTTCCACTTATCTTTGTGATAGATTACACTGATGCCATAAAAGGATGCTGTAATGTTGTTTGATAAATAATGGTATTGGGGGGGGTCTTATGGTTGGTAATGCTTTTCGAATATGAGAAATTACTTTAAAATTGATTATCAACAGGGTTAAGAGTACTTTGTCCGTCCCGGTTTGTTTTGCAGAGGAAGGACAAGTTTAATTCTGTGGATGCCTTAGTTACCGCCTCTATTTAAACCGTTGTAAGCGGAGCCAAGTGGTGACTCCATCGAAGATAGAGTGAGACCATTCGAAACTTGTCTGGCTATCAAAACATTAGCTAGATTATCTGGACATCTAGATAGCCTCTAAACAAGCCTAGAACAAATTTTCCTGAAATGAGAATAATCCATTAAGAGAGCAGATAATTTTGCCTTAATCAAAATTACCAAAAGTTGTAAATAACTTAATTGCAATTAGAACTTGACCCTCTTTACATAAACTTGCATGACCGTCTTTAATTATGTTCTGACCTTAAACTATGCCGCGCAGTCGAAAAGTATTTTAACCAAAAGAAAACGGTGCTACCAGCTATCTCCAGGTCATACATAAGAGATCCACTCAATCTTGCCCCAAAAAGCCGACTTTGCTAAGTCTAGACGATGACTACACCGCATACTTTGCATGAAAGGCGCATACAAACCCCTAATTTCAAACCCATTTCCTGCATATCCTAGTGAAATGACTTAGGTTCCTCAAATTCATAATCTTAACGGCGCTTGTCCCGGTAGTCCTGCGAAACAAACAGTCTACTTATTAATTAAGACTAACAACAAAACCTTACTTCGCATTTCCAAGCGTATTCAGAAAGAATTATTCCTCCCCAGCTGTTCTGCAGACTGTAGCACGAATAATGATGGAGAGGCACCGCAAAGGCTACAAAGTAAACTCCCATACCAACCTTATTAACATTACTGCGAGAATGGGGGAGAGAACCCCCACTCTATTCCCCACCGTGATCCTAAGTGCCCGCCTAAAAGGAGCTGGAAAATATTGAAAGAAGGCAAAAAAGTTTGTCTAAATTTACTAGTAAATAGAATAAATAACTTGTAATACAAAAAAGCGTCTCTGCGTAAATGAAGGCAGAGATCAGCACGAGTGAGTGGAGCGCTTGAAGGACTCTGAAAAGGGGAAGGATTGATGAGATGATCCTCCTGAGAAATGACATACAATACGATGGAACAGATAAATTTGTAATTAGGATGCAGACTCTTCAGGCAGGGAGTAGATTGTCACCGAGGCCAGATACCCGTTTTGCGGAAGCACCTATAAGGATAATGAAATACAGTGTCGGGCGTGATTGTGACCTTATAGATCGCGCTTTCTGGTAGGCAGAAAGAGGGAATGCGAATTGCTACAGTCTATCTAGGAGTGCAGCTAGGGTACTTCTGGATCTGTCATTTGTTCATTCGCGAACAGAAATATAGCAGAGACTACCAACGTCAGAAGCTATCTACTTCCGTTGGAACTAATTACTGCAGGAACGCAACCATCGTCTGATGAGCAACTCGGCCATGGAGAAGAGAGCAAACTGACCTCGAAGATGAGATCACGATAGTTGTAGGCGTTGGTCACGCCGAAAGGATTTCTGCGAGCAGTGGTCTCCTGGTGGATCACCACGGGCTGCTCATTAATCACACCCTCCAGCAGGGATTGTATCTGACATCGAAATGAAAAAATGGACGCAGCTACTGGCATTCAGAGGGCTACAGTATTCAAAATTGAAAGTCTAAGAGGCAAAAAATTCAGTGCGAGAAGCTTCCAGATGTTAGTCACTGCAACCGAAGCAAGCCAAAATACTTCCCCAAACTGAGGGCTAGGATCGAGACGTGATGGAACGCAAGAATAATCACGAAAGCGGTCATACTTCCCAGTCTCTCAAACAACTCGGTCTCCAATATCGGTAAGTCTTCTAGACTCTAGCAATAAAAAGATACCTCTAGTTTCCTACGCCTTATCATTACGAATGACATGAGGAAAGAGCAGAATATCGCGTGAACAGAAGCACAGGTTACCTTCACGAAAGGGTTGATAACGACTGACTTGACTTCACCGTCGTCGGAGGTGATTGAGAGAGGAATCTCGAACATGCAACGGTAGTAGCTAAAAGTGAAAGTGAATAAGTGAAGATAATACGAAGACTATGGAGAGTCTCCCTCATGGGCGGATGTCCTAATTTTGCAAACCGAACGTTGCCTTCTGCAATACTGAAGATAATTTAAGTTTCCCTCTCGCGAATCATCAGTGCGTTCAAGTGGTAAGTAAACAGAGGATAGCCACTCACGTGTTGAAAGTGTATTCCCCAGGTTGATTGGTGTGAAGCACAAAGGTGATAACACGATGTGTCCGCGCCTCAAAGAGGACGTCCACTCCAAGAGTGAAGTAGTTGTAGAAGTAGTCGCAGCGCTGCTGTCGCAACTTTCGATAGGACTGAGGCAAGTGGATCATCATCTTATCTTCTGTCTTGTAGTACACCCGACTCGGTGAACCCAGTGCTGAAAGCACATCCTGAGTAAGAATAAGGCAGATAAGCGAATGGAAGAGGAGACGAGAGCATGTATTCAAAGTCGACCAAATAATCATGGCGCAACCCGTACATATCCAACATCAGCCGATCTACATAATCTGCTTCATTGACGTACTTCTGCATTTCTTCAACCAGAAAGCTTTGCAAGTGCCTTCCAATGCTCCACATAGAAATAAAATAAAAATAATGGTTTTCTGAGATAAACGATAGTTTCTTGCAAAATTATCGTGGCAGTATGAAAATCAAAGATGCAGAACTTGAACGTGAAAAAATTTGTTCCGAATAAGTCTTCTAAGGGCAGGATGAATACATCAAAAGGAGCTTA